AAGGGGGGGGGGGGGGCTGAAAGTGGGGCAGAGTGAGATAACACTAACCTAGGGGTCCGGGGTGTTTTGCTTTTTTGCTTGAAAATAACATCTGAGGTGTTTTGGGTGATCGATTTTTCTTTTCTTTTTTGCTTTCTTTTCTTTTTTTTTTACTTTCCTAAAGAAGAAGGGAGAAGGGGGAGCAGGGCCAGCCCAGCTCCCCCCTAAATCTTCCCCTGATTAAATTCTATATACTTCACTATCATTTTCAAATTCAAATTTTTATATTCAAATAAACACATCGAAATTGCAGCCACAAGGCTGAACTGCATGATATATAAAATAAAAGCAGTTAAATATAAATGCAAACATTAATTCATTACAAGATGAACATCTAAAAATTTTAATTTAACATTCATTCAGTACATACCAATAACATAACCATAGCATTCTTTAGTCTGAAGTGGCTTAAAATTGACTTACCTACAGTTGACGGTTCAAGCTGAGTAATTGCTACCTCAGCACCAATCAAACCAAACAGAAGAGGTTCAAAAAATAGCCAGAATACTGACACTACATTACCAACTTTTATCTGAGAAAAAGAAAAAAAAAACTTAAACAAAAAGTATTTTAGTTTTCTACTTAAAGCCAGGCTCCAGAGGAAACCAGATTTTTCTAAGGCACAAAAATCATATTTGGCGAAAAACTTGAAAGCGGTTATTGAGATAAAGATTTTTAAATATTAGTTCTTATTTTTCTTATATATAAATTATTTTAAAACTGGCAGGAAATTTCCTACTACTCCAGTGATATTTTCCAATCCATTACAGAAATTTCCATTGATGAAACCAGGGAGATTTAAAAATATCTATCACCCCTGTCTGAAAATAACCCACTTTTGCCGAGTTTGAAACATTCTTGTAGGAAATAGTCTTTATTTTATATTAATGCTTGCCGTATACCACGTAATAGTTCTATATTTGAGATAATGTATAAAATAACACTGAAATGATGGATTGACCTATATCAGAGTTATAATAGAATACTGACTATACCATTATATGACATGAATATATTATATGGATATCAAGGATGTAATTCCTGGCTTAATCAACTAGAAATATAGCCTTAAGTTTGATTGGCATATTTATTGTGTACATGTATAGTCAGGTTGTGCCTTGATTTATAAAACCATTTCAGCTAACTGCTTGCTATACAGTAGGTATGTTGAGAAAACTGTCTATGAAACCAATTGTGTAAAAATTATACCAGATATTAACTTATATATTCCATGATATAAACCACATTTAAAAAAATGATCTTTTTACCACCACCACCCATACCCCAAAAATCTCCTGTTTTCATTTAAATTCACTTTGTTTCAAAAACATAAATTTACAAAACAATAATGTAAAGAAACAATCCTTCAAGATTAGCTTATAATCAGGCTTCCTATCCATCTCTTTCTTGCCTTTAGAATATTATATTAATTTAATTAGATGATAGTAACATTTGGTACACCTCAACTAGTAAGAACAATGACAATACACTTTATTCAGAAAAGCATATTGTCTTCATTGGGATTCAAACCCAAGACCTCCAATCACCATCCTAATGCGCTACCAACTGGGCTATGAGGTCAAGTGGTATACTTCCTTTTATGTTCATTTTAGGACATACTTATTTTTTTCAAGGTATATGCAATGGCGTTTTGGAGTGGAACTTGTGGTTAAGATGCTTGCCTTCTAATCCCAGGATCCTGGGTTCAATTCATGTGACAGCAGGATTTGTTCTCACAACCAAAAAAAAAACTCCACTCCCTCAGCCTCATTCTGAGACTTAGTTATTAAAGCATAATTGGGCTGGGCCTTGTGGGAAAATAGTAGATATAATTTTTTCAAATTTGTCTTTATTCTCTTCAATTATTATTTGACTTATTTGATTTTTTGTTATTATTCTTATAATTATTATTATTCTTTTTATCCTTTTCTTATTCTTGTTTGATTATCATCTCATTATTATCATTATCTTTAATATTTCTATTGTTAATGTTATTTTTTTTTTATTGTTTATTGTTATTATTTTTATTATTACTATTATTATTATTATTATTTCATTATTATTACTTTATTAGCAGCGGTGGCGGCGGCGGCAGCAGCGGCAGCAGCAGTGGCATTGCTCTTTATTGTGTATTATATTGTAAAGCACTAGTGAAAACTTCCATTTTAACCAGCGCTATACAAATATTAAAATCTATCTATCTACCTATATATTAAACAGGATACCCACTATAAGCAAGTGACATTCTCTTAACAAAGACAATAAATTATGAAATATGTTCTGGGTATAATGTTAAAATGCATCCACTCAAATCGCCGGCAACTAACTGGCAACCCCATCTACGGCCTTAGCGGCCTTTGAAAGGGAGGGTGAATGGTCACCCACCAACAAGAAAAAAAAATAGCTGAACAAAGGGCGGATGAACTCCTCAAAGCCAATGGCCAAACCATGCTTAGTTTAAGGAGTAGGATTAGTTAAGTATCATTCTATTTGTATTATTTATGTTAAGCGCATAGAGGTCTCTATGATATGCGCTCTACAAGTCAACCATTATTATTATTATTATAAGAAAGAAAAATTAAATTAAGTAAATCAATGAATAATCTCATATGATATTAGCTTTAATGGAGAAATACCTCCAATAGTACTGTAAAAGGGAAAAACATGTACATTCAAACATAAAAGGGACCACAAAACTTCGAACACTGACTGCCAATCACAAAGATTCTGCTTCAAATGCAAGTGACATTCTCTTAACAAAGACAATAAATTATGAAATATTTGTGTCTTATTGCAAACACCATATCTATTATTATTCATCGTGGTTGGCCTTGGCAACGGGTATGACAATCCGCTCGGCTTAACATAAGAGTATCAATATAACATCCAGTGGCATTCTAAATGCTTGTCATTCTATATGAAACGTGACTACCAAATATGGAGAAATAGCCAACGTGTGAATTGAAATGTCAAAAGAACAGGCTCTACAACCATCAACATTATACGTAATGTGTATGTCCATCATACCATTTTATTTCAAACGAACATTAAAGATTAATACCGGGACAAGGATTTTTTACTTTTCTGTTAAAATCCATTTGCTGTTCAGCTTTACATGGCTAAAAAGAATTTTCAACTTTAAACGAATAATTGTTTTTGTGAATGTAGGTTGCCTATTTCCCTGTAGATTGTAAACATAGAACTACATGAAATAATAAATAGGAAAGCCAAGTGTATTCGTTGCATGTTTTATTGATTGACTCAACAGCTGATGGATTTGTGTAACAAAGATTATAAATAGCTACCAGTATTCAAGAAAATATTAACCACACTTTAAATAAATGTAACATTGGTATTACAAGTTCCCAAAAATTGAATATGCTTAGACTAAATAGTAGTCAGGTGACCAGATATTTTAACTAATACTTTCCTTATTCTTTATGAATTTCATATCATTATTTATTTGGTCCAATATACAAAAATGGGGGAGAGAAGGGCCAACCAAAGTGAACTGAGTCACTGAAGCAGTGCTGGTTGGCCCATCCCCAATCACAGATACAAGAATACAATTAAAAAAAATGAAAATCACAAAAGCAAAGAATCAAAATGAACATGAATCTTTTGAAGAAAGAAGACGGCTTCCCAAACTCAAGACAGTCTAATGGCGGCCGAGTGGAAAAAAGCTTGAGTCCTGGATGTCTGATGTAAAAAGCACAGGCGAACTGTGTGCTTGGGATTGATGTTCATAAAATTAAAAACCGTGCTGCAGTCCAAGATGCCCACCAACACTTTAATATGAAATTTATCCCTTCTAACTGATAAAGGACGACAAAGACAACGATCTTAATCTCTCCCGAAACTCATTTCGCCCTGATGTTGTTTGAGACGAAGTCTACTTGCTCTTTTATGGACCCCTTCAAGCTGATTGGACAGAGTTTTGGTTCAAGGAAAGCAGGCAGGTTGGGCATACTCCAGGCCTGGTAAAACAAGACTCTTATAAAGAGAAATAAAGGCATCTGTGGAGGCATGACCAGCCACACTCCAAATGTTTTTTTACACAGTATTTTATTATTGTCCTTATATTGAAAGCACTTAGGTTTATTAAAGTGAAATCTGAATTTGCATTGCATTTCTTTGACATTGCCGCCTTAATGAAAGGTCTTCATGTGAAATAGCGAAACACCACAAGGAATGATGTCTGAACTTGTCATCCCAAATGTGCCAAGTAAAACAAAAAAGTAGTTTCTCGTCCTAATATTTAAAAAAATAATAATCAGAATGAGGGTACTTTTTTAATCTTAAAAAATGGCAAATCCAAGATTGTCGATGGGAAACATCTACTACTTTCCCACTTTTACCAACTAGACACATTGAAAGCAAATAAAAGAAGCACAGACATGATTTATATAATATGTATTCCCAACCACAAATGACTGAGAGAGGATTTTACTGATGTAAGTTAGATATTTGTACATTTTGTAAAAAAAAAAAAAAAAAAAAAAAAAAAATATTGGTGAGGCACAGAAAATGGATGAGCAAGGGGACAAGAAACTAGTAATTTTCTTTATTTGGCCTGAAATCTGATGAGCATGAAATTTCTAACTGAAAAGTTCTTAGTATGGATCTGATATTGGTGAAAATGCTTATGTCCTTGGACAAGACAATGCTATTATCCTTACCCATCCAGGCGTATTAAGAAGGCGAGTTATTAAATACATGCAGTATGATTAATTATGACCATTCTTTTTAAAATTCATTACCTAGGCAATTAGGCCAAGGACTACCAATTAGGAAACTCAATCACTGTCCTTCTCATGGGTGGCAATCCTTGTCATCAGACCAACATACTGGTGGTAAGATGCTTTACAAGAAACTCATGCAGTCACTCCATAGAGTGCATACCTCTGCCCTGTACAGTACCAACAATATGCAGGCCATGTATAATGGGCGAAACTGCAGCATACCCTCAATGAAATAAGGAAATCGTCTAGCGTATTCAGGAACATTATTTTCTTGAGTGCTGCAGCCTACCCTCAATAAAATAATTTTATCGCCCCCCACGTATTCAGGCAGATTCTTAAGTGCTGCCTAAATACCTGGGGCAATTCCATTATTTTCCTTTATGCTCGAGGGTAAAAAAAAATCTAATTTCTGTGATGCTACCCTTGTCTTTTGACCAGGTGTCTTTCTACTATTATTATGTATCATTCCAATAAATTATAGGATGATCCATTCATTAGTTTTTGCATAATCTTGGTAACAGATAGACAGACAAAAAATTAGATAGACAGGAAGACAGACAGGTAGCAGTGAATACATAACCATCTTGGTGGAGGTACATCTCATTATGAGGCTTAAGAAGTAGAGCTTATTTTGGTAGAGAGAAAATATGTTGTAACATAGACAGGAATTGAACCCAAGACCATAGGATTGGAAAGCAAGCATCTTAAACATTTCTATTAGTAAAACTTTCTTCTGCAAGCTAGGTAGTGAAGATTGAATGTTACAGAATTGATCCCCATCACAAGTGGCAGCATTAGTCGAATTACACAATGTGAAAGATGAAGTGTAAAAGAATTACTGTATAATGGATTGATTTTTAAGCTTGCATTTGACAACTGTAGTGGAAATACATTAAAAAGTAGCTATCTTACATGAAATCAAAAAATCTTTTCATCTTTTAAGATTATGTTTAACGAAAATTGCTACCTTTTCAATACAATGAGAATTTAACCATTCATATTTAAATTTTCGCCATAGCCTATATGGCTTATTCAAGGACATTTGGTTAATTCTGCTTATCTAATTTACATGGAAAGCATTGAACTCATCAAGAATAATTAGGAGTTCTTGGAAACGACTACCAAGCAAATATGAAAGCTGAAATGAATGTTAAATAATATAGATTTATACTGCATTTCTCTGTTTTTTTTTCATCAGATAAATCAAATAATTACTTCTAAAGATGTGTGGAAATGACATGTAAGGGGATATGGTTAATCTGGAACTCACTTTAACAGGTACCTGGTAGGGAGTGCATCATTGCGTCTTGTTGTTCTTATGACATACTTTTGGGTAAGCATGATTCTCCATATTAACTGGGTGCCGCTTTTGTTATTTATTTCAACGCAAAAGAATTTTCCCCATGCTGAATGGCTAGACAAGGCATTAGAAGTTAAAACAAAGGTGAATTTTTAATGAATCTAAAAGATCAAGTACTTACCTTGCCATTTTTCCAACCTAGGCCTGCAACGAACGGTAAGACGAGGCATGCAAGGGCACCTGCCCCAGAATAGCCAGCCAATTTCAGGCCAAGAAGTGAAAGAATGGATGAAGACATAATCAAAACACTCCTTACTCCAACTATAGCTGACTGAAGGGAAAATAGGTGGGATGTAATAAAACTAAAGTATATCCATTGGCATTATTGTATTATATACAATATGACTGTACAGTTATTCAGCTGTTCAGCAGTTTAAGTTCTTATTATTATATTTACTCTCAATTGTCTTGTGTTTATTGTTCACTTCATTCTTTTAACACAGATGCATTATAAGTAAATTTAATATCATTATTAAAAAAATTCATGTTATATTAATAACACATATTTATATAATAAAGTACACATTGTTGAATTTATTGATCATTCAAGACAAAAACCTGTACAATTGTAGGGTTTAATCTACTGTTATTTAAAAATAAATTTGAATATAAACATGAAATAAATGAAATAACATAATAAAAGACCATGTTGTTGGATTTTTACATAAACATTGAATAACAATGAAAAAGGGGCATGGTACCAACATTTCAAAATGTCATAACTTAAAAACCACTTGGCAATTGAAGCTGAAATTTTGGATTCTTTCTTTTGACATAGCAGCTTCTGGACCATTGAGCTTGCACTTGGATAGTATTGATTCCGATCCCAAAGTACCAGTGGTTACTGCAATGCTATTTCAATGTTGTTTTGCCTAATTGGCGTGTTATCGTACTAAATATTCAGTACGTTAACAAATAGTTGCAAACAAAATCTGAAGGATGTTAGTTCAATTGCCACCAGAATCACTTGAGAGATTTTTTTCGCGAGTATTTGAGAATGTACTGAGTGTTCAGTACACTCACACAGAGGTAGGGCGAAAAATCACACCTATACCCTTTAACCTCCAATTTCATGTTCTAATTGTTTGTTCCAAATTATTGACATACACTGTACTATGAAAAATATGGTAATAGAATAATGGCAGTCTAGGATTTTTATTGATATTATAGAGAAACAGTTTTCAGACTGAACGCTTCAATATTATTATTTCGTATATTTAACCACTAAAGGAATTCTACCCCAGCTAAAATTGACAATGGTGATGTACAGTATGTCACCAATTGTAAATCGTTTTCAATTTACAGAGAAGGTACAATGTTATTTAATAAGTGATCTATAGACTTTACCCCTTAGCTTAGCCCCGCCCCTTAGATATTGTTGCTAAGGTCCCACCAAAATACTGCGTATGTTAACACAAGCATGTACTATATTCTGATTCTGATTGGTCAGTTGTAAAGTTTGATTGACATCCTGGAAAGGTCGTTTCTAGACTCATCCAAACAATAGCTAAACTATTAATAATGCTTAAAAAAAACAATCAAGATATTAAGTACTGAATAATTAAAGTCTAAAATCAACCAAACTAGTATTAATACCACAGTAACATTAAACGAAATGAAAATAATAATTTATTAAAAGCAGAAAGTAATGTTTTACCTGATACTTATTGGGTAAAAACCACAATACCATCCCAAATATTACACCAGCTCCGATCCCCATTACGACCTCTATTGGGCCTCTTAGAATTGTAAACACCATGTTTGCTGATGAAGATGTCGATGCGAGAAGAATACTGAAAGTACTAATAGCGAATACATTGTCGATGCTTGCCGATGCAATGACAAGGGTTGGGATACCCTTGACTAAGCCATATCCTTGCTCCTGAAGAATTAGCAGGGAGGGTACCACAACAGCTGGTGAAACAGCAGCCAACACAAACCTGTGAGAAGAAAATATTCATTGACTGTACCCACGTATGGGCATGATGATATCACATAATGCCCATATATGGGAAAATTACATTTATTTAACATAAAACTTGATGTGTGGCTAGTGTTTACAGTGCTATCCACAGCAATCAAATTTTATTTGACAAAGAACTGTTGTATGTCCATATATAGTCATAATGTGCCCATATATAGTCATGATGCACCTATATATGGTCATTATGTGATGTCATCATGACCATAGTTAAGCATGTCAAATAAAGTTTGATTGTCTGGAAAGGGCTTAGACTAAATATAAAAAAAAAAAAACTTGTTCTGTTATATTATGTGTTTGGGCCACCTTTTTTTATTTCAAAAAAACAAAACACCAAGAATATCTGCAGAACACAAACATGAAGAAAAAAATAATTGACCCTAGATTCTCCAGATTGGTCAACTTTTATAAGGACATAATTGCAATACAGAATTACTATGACAATGGAATATAAATGAAGTTTACTTACCCCAGCATGAACCCCCATAGCCAGGGGAAGTCCAACAGCAGAACAGCTGCTACAGCCACAGCGGCTGCTTCAAACAACGTGGGTAAAAATGCTAGCCGCAGACATGCATATCGTAGTCGTTTCAAAGCTTTTGCATCAACTCCTAGACCGGCTCGGATCAGAATAACCGCTAAGGCTATGTTGCGCAGTACTTCTGACCAGGAAGGCGTGATATCTTTTGCTATATCAATATGTGGTACGTTTGCCAACACAAGGCCTACAATAAGCATACCTGAAATGAAGAGAGGTGGAAAATGTGGAACAGCATTCTATCCTATCACTCCACAACTTCACAATATTTTTAAAAAATTTCTAATAATGACATTTAAAAACAGTAATAAATCAATAAAATAAATTGATATAAAAGTAACTAAATAATAGTTTCATAATATTCATATAGTACAACAGAATGAGCAAAAAATCTCTAGAAATCTAAAAATACACAAAAACAAATGACAAAAAATACACACAAGATTAATGAAATTACAATTACCAGTTCATCAAATATTTTAATTCATCCATACTTTCTGTGTTGACAATTATATTGTGCAAGTAACAGATTGTTGACTATTTAGTTCCTTCGAGGACAGGTCTTATGTAGGCATGGCATCATATTTTGTAGGTTTACTTTTGGAACCTTTCAGTTCTATATTTAGCGTATCCCATCATTCCTCCAACCGTATACTATCACAACTTAAAAGTGAGGCGATAGCTAATGTGTCTACAGGCCCCCCCCCCCCCCC